AAAGTGATACAACTTATTAGATTGTAAAAATATTTTATAGTAAAAAATAAAAATTTTAATTAGCCAGGAAGATATTACAAACTTTGACCTTATTATCTATGCTATTTACTCCATTACAATTTTGTCAAAACGCCGTACAGTTATGGTACCAACACATACAAATCATATGAAAAGTAGGCCTCCACAAGAATGCATCTGGTTTCATAGCTACATCAACCCAAACTCTCACAACATTAAGTCCAGAGAAATGTGATGAACCAATATTTCTGGATAATTTGAAATCCAATGTCCTACCACCTCCTGTTGTTCTAGTACAATTTAGTAGCTTACACTTGTTGAGTATATTAGTGTTTACATCATGAACCAAAATTTCAATCATGAACGCACTTTTTGAGATCTAAAATCAATAGACAATGACTAAAGATGACAGCATTAAGTCCTCAACATAAGGTATAAACATGTTATCTCAACAAGTCTAGTGGCGGACCCAGCACCCGGTCGAGGGGGGCCGAAAGATTTTTTGGGAAGAAGATGGCAAATGGGCGATTGAGCTGGTTCATCTTCCGTCGGGTCTTCTTCAGTTCTTCTGGTTCATCTTCTTCCTTCCTCTTTTTTTTTTTTTTTGTAATGAGACTAGGCCGTTGCTGCCCAGCCCAGCCCAGCCCAGCTCCTTTTTTTAATTATTTTGACCGGTTGAGCCATTTGTTTTGCAGCCCAATATTTAATTATATATAAGCCAAGCCCTTTCAAGCTCTTTTCTTTTTTGTAATTGTGTTGGACCATTTCTTCGGCCCAATAGTCCAATACTTATTATATGGACCCAGGACATAAACAAACTTCATTTTTCAATCTTTAACCAAGCCAGCGCCAAAAAAATTTCTTTCTTTATAAGATTACTTATTAGTACATATGTATTCTTCCTAAAATATATTGAATTAAATAATTTTCACTAAACGAGAGTTTCACAAATTTAAAAATTGTAAAGATTTTTGAACTCTTTGAACAGTTTTCAATTTTCATGTTTTTATTCATCTAATTTTATTGCCAAATATTAGAATATTTTCATATTTCTTGATCTTACGCCGTAAATAATAATTACAAAATTTAAATTTTATTTTGATGAATTTGACGCAATGATCAATTATTTTTATTAGCATTTACACATGTATATAATATTATTATCGTCGTCATAGTCATTGTAGGTTTTCTTCAATAATTATTCTCACAATCGTCATTATATTGTTATAAACAAATTGCCGCCAACCGACCAAGTTTTTTCTTTAAAAAGGACTTAAATCAAGGTCATTTTGTTCACTTACTAAGCTTATCTCAACTAATGTTTTTATATAATCGATTATTTGTAGATGGATTTGGAATTGGAATTGGAATTGGAATTAGAATTTGGAATTGGATTTGGAATTAGAATTAGATTTAGGGTTTGGAATTGAGGGAATTTGAACTGTGGATTTGGAATTTGATTTATGAATGTTGGCACCTTTCAATTCTACACTACCAACAAAATATAATGACACTACATTTAAATATGTAAAATTACCTCGCTCTTATGATCGTTGATTGTCGACGTTGATTGGTCAACATCCGCCCGGGTTGAGTTTCGATGCTGGATTCGCCACTGAACAAGCCAATCAATAAGAATCGCACGCACGCAGGGATTTATATCTCTTTGGACACTTTACATGAAGTCGGTAGCAGGCCCTTTCTTTGCCTAAATTAAATAAACAAGGAAACATAGCGAACACCGTAGAGTTGTACAACCAAAGATTAGTAAATTTTATAGAGAAAAGTATTTCCATAGCACAACATCATGAAACACGTAGTATCCTATTTTCTTTGGGCAATTGGTTTGAGAAACATTTATGCTTAAATCAAAAGCCAAACATAAAAGGTTTATTAAGCATAGATGACCATGGATGTTACTTCTTCTTTTACATGTAATATTCCCGATACTCACCACGCCTTTTATGCTTCAACTTTCCATTTGCATATGACTATAAGGAAAAGTTTTTTGAATAATGGAAGTGATATAAAATTAATCTTTCAACCAGTATATATGCAACAGGTAAAGGTGAACTTAGAAGAACTACAAAAGGTAAACTTAAAAGAACTACAGAGATAACATCTAGATCTTTATGTGTCATGTTTCAACTCTAGTTAAGCGTTTCAACAAATATCCAAATGGAAAAATAGAATTTTAACCCCAGATGCTTGATGGTTATTGTAAATATCACAAGCAATGGTTGCACATAATTGCGGGTCATTTAGATTGCCATCAACATCGACAATCATATCATCAGAGTCCATGGCTGCAAGTATTTCTCGCTTGCATATGTTCTCTACCACTTCAACGCGTTCCGAGATGTAGAGCGTGTTGGATGTCATTCTCTCGATGGAATCAACTGCTGCTATTTCATTATTATCTATGTATTCTACTTTTGGACTATTCAGGGAATCACAGGTCGACAGAGATTCATCCATTGAAATTGATAGTCATAAGGCAGAGGCCATGTGATGAGGACATCACATACTTTGGGCTCCTACTTTTGGGCTATCTTTATTTATGTTTCATTAATTTTAACTGGGCTTGTATAATGGGTTTGGCCCAAGCCCCTTCCTCACTAGGTTTGCTTATTGTTCGCCGTATATGTCTTGTAAGTAAATGAGAAAACTTAGATGATGAATATGATGAAATGAAATGGCTTCGCTTGGAGCAAGCGTTTTCTCCCTACCCCTTTCCCCCTGAATTTTTGTATCTTCTCCAGTTTCTTTCCCTGTTCTCTCTAGTTTCTCTCCCCTTTCTTGTTGCTTTCTCCTTTATCCTACATCAAATTTAGTATCACAACTAAACTTGGGAATTCTTTTATGTTGAAATTATTCAATAATCATGCTAAGAATAAGAATCACATAATTAATTGATAGTTCGAAATTCAATTCACAAAAATATGCACACATCAAATCTTAGCATGCAGCTCTGATACCAATTGTTGTAATTATTCAATACAATCATGCTAAGAATAAGCATCACATAATTAATTGATAGTTCGAAATTCGTACCTGCGGAAGATATTGTTTTGTATGAATATTACTAGCTAGATCTTCCTCTCATTGCTCTTCAAAAATAATCGGCCGCCAATGGGACAAGCCAAAAAGATATGGGGAAGAGAGGGGACCTAACCATTATATAGGAAATTATAAAGTCGGCCCATTACCGACTCTAACCCTAATTAGGATTTATTTAATTCCGGCCCACATACTTAAAATTACCACATTATGATAATATATCCCGTAAGGTATACAACGGCCCAAGTGATCACTAACATATTGGGCCTAATCACATTATTGTTGCAAACCATACATCTAATCCGTAAAAATTGCAATCAAATAGAAGCCCACGTAATAAAATAATTGCAGCATTCTCACACTTGGGCAGACATTTGATTGCTATAGAAAAAATTCTAATATCCGGGTTTGACTACATAGATGGCCACACAAGTACAACTGCAATAATAACACCTTACACAACATGATCTGACCCAACAAAAATGTTAACATCGAACATGGAAGTCGTTACACCAATCAAACGATGTAAGACCACTCCACAACTAAAAATGCCAACATCCTTATGACATGGATCCCCATCCTCCAACCAATGTGGTATTATGCAGTATGAACTTAGCACCAAATGTGATCAAAACTGTGTTAATTCATATCGGTCCTCAAAATACTTCTAATCAAAATGAAGCCACATATCTCAAATGAGACTCATCTTATGTCTTTAATTGCCATATCTCGAGATCAAATGATATCATAATAAAAGACATAAGTCAAATGCAAGAACAAAATATTTTATGGATATGGTAAAATATATATTATTATTAGAAGAGACAGTACCCGAAGAACATATGGGTTGCCTTACATAAATAACTCCCACTAACCAAAAAAACAAAGATTTCCACAATACCTATATAAACAACATGTGTTGTAAAAACATTAGGAGCAAGTCCCTTAGTCAAAAGGATTTGCAATCATCACCTCTTTATCGATATGCTCTATTTTCGTCTCTAACCACCAAATATTTGATGTCAATGTGTATCGATCCATTGTAATTTTATTGTTTATTGAAAAGAACACTGTTGCGCTATTATCACAATAAGTAACGATTGGCCTTGAGATGGAGTCAACAACTTTCAGCCCAGAAATAAAATTCTTTAACTAAATGGTTTGAATTGTAGCTCCATAACATGCCACAAATTCAGATGCCACTAGATTTTGTTCATCATTTTTCCACGACATGGCACCATCAACCAATATGAAAATATAACATAAGGTTGATTTCAAATCATCTTGACATCCAATAAAATCAGAATGTGAGTAGCCTACCACCTCAAGGTGATTTGAATGTTAGAAAGTGAGCGTTTTTTTTAAGTATCTCATGAATTTCTTAGCCGCTCTCCAATACTCTTGCCCTGGATTCGACTAAGACCTACTGAGCCAAATCACCACTTACAAGTAAAATGTCATCAATATACAGGATAAGATAAAATTTCTCCCACTGGTTTTAAGATAAATACATTGATCGACTGTATTTTCAACAAAACCAAGTTTTCTTTTCCCTTCACAACAAAAGCTTCAGGTTGTGCCATGTAAACCCTTTCTGAAAAATCCCCATTTAGAAAAGATGTCTTAATATTTCCTTTTGAGTCCAATTTCCTTTTGAAAATCCATTTGTTATCTATGACTTTAGCATCCGAAGAAAATTCAACAAGTTCCCAAACTTTATTCTGTTCCACAGAATCTATTTCATAATCCATTTTATCAATTTATGTGACTCAGGACTTGTCAATGGTTGATTAAAAGTAACAGGGTCAACAATATGCCCTACATTAAAATCACTCATAGTGGAAACTTTCCTAGTGGATTCAGTCAACTATCTTCTTATACAATCCAAACGAGCATCAAAATTAGAGAAGTCGAGAGAGAGAGAGAGAGAGAGAGAGAGAGAGGTATCTCAACTTTAACCAATCTCTTTATCATATCCTTTGAAATGTGATGCAAACTCTTATGCCATAACATGGAGGATGATTCATGAATTAAAGACCTTTTCTTTGATACTATGACTAATGCAAAGTATTGCCTTATCATGTTGGACATAGATTGTGAAAGTATGATAATTGACATGTTCCAACACTTTCTTGTAGCTTTAAATGGAAATCATTTAGGGAATGTAGTGGTGTCAATGGGCCGAGCCGAACTGGGCTCGTGCTCGCACGAGCCGAGCTCGTGGCTCGTTGGTAATGAGTCGAGCTTGAGCTCGGCTCGTTACCATTTGGGCGAGCTCGGCTCGTGCCCGAGCTCGCCCAAAGCGAGCGGCTCGGCGAGCCGAGCTTAA